AAGCACATTTACAATGCAATTGACGGATATTTACACTTGAAAAAGTAAACAATATAAAATATAGAACCAAGTTTCTAAACTTAGCGCTGTTCTCATAGATGGTTGTATTTTTTATAAAAAAAAAATTGAAAAATACTGATTTTTCAAATATTCTTCTTGTTAAGTTTTTATGAAACTGTGTTTTTCTCTCAGATTTCTGTCATAAGAATTGATAAAACTTTATGTATTCATAATTAAATTCACTCCTTTTTTATATCGAATATTTATGAAATTTAAAAATGTAGGACAAATGAACGAGAAAAATATGAGTAATACACCTCTCCTGAAATATCTCGTTAAATAATTCATATGTTAATATTTTTATATTTCTGTGAACATATTGGCTTCATAAATCTTAAAAATATAATCATGAATATATCAACTGATTTTCAGAATTAATTAATTCTCAACTTACTGAAAGTACTGTTCGGTCTATCCTCTTAACCTTAATAGTACAGTGTCCATAATTCTGGTTTCGTGTAAAAGTATATTTGTAAAATTGCAAGGACGTTATTATGGTATATTTTATGTGGATATCCATAAAATATATAATGAGCATTTTCATGATCGAGTTTTATAATTTTTTTAAATTTTTATATGAGGTTTTAGAGCTTTCCATTGGTTCTTAATAAGGAGACGTCATTGAATATATTTATAAAAATGTTTCGTAGACACACCTCGTTCTTCAGATGACCTCTCAAAGAAATGATTAAACATGTGAAATAAAAATTACAATAAGAAATTGTAAAAAAATTAATTTAAAAGTTACATTTTGAGTAAAGCCGTAAACCATTGACCGGAGGGTAGGGAGAGGTTCTTGATTACAAATTTGAGTCATTAAGTGCAAATAATAGTTCAAATTTGTTTATACAATAATTAATTTTACATAATGATAATCTGGTGCAAATGTTAATCAGGTGACATAAGAATTTAGTTCTATTGACTTATTTTTGAAAACGAATAATTTGATGATGTATTTGAAGTCTAATTTATGACTTCAATAATAACACATTTTTTAAGACTTAAATGTTATGTGCCAGTTTGTACGCAATCAAGTAGCTCTTTTTTAAAATGCAAAAAACATATGACTAAGATTTAACCTTTTCCTTATCAATATATATTTTTAATAACGCTACCTCATTAAGAAGATCATTTTCGTGTTGTTTATTATCAATACAAACAATGGTGGTCGAATTTTAACAACTGATTAACAATGCAAACTTGCTAAGTAGCTCTCGGTAATCAGTTTCTTAAAAATTATTCGTTATTATTAATGTTTAGCATTATAAAACCAACACAAATCTGGTACTGTACGTGCATCACACAAGTTTCACTAATCTCCCTCTTCTATTGATTTATATTTCATTGTGGATATTTTTATTTGTTTAATTGCCCTTATAGATACAAATTTTAATATTTATATCTCATTAATATATGCAATTAAATATTAAAAAATACTAACGAAAACATTTAGGAAACTCGCATATTTACATAATATTGTGGGAGTCCGCATCTTATACGCTCATGTTAGGTATGGAAGCCTGTTCTAATATTTCGAACTAGCTGGGGTGAGCTCGAGCTCTCTCGTGTTCCTTTGATTCCTTCATTACAACTATTCTCTGTTACAATCTCTTATTTCTACTTTAGGTAATTATCAAATTCTTTCATATTTTATATTCAACTATTTTTTATATTAGGGATCAATGTGAAATGGTTAATTGTTTCAAATAAAAAAAAAAATACAGGCACTTTAGAGAAAGCTAATATTGAAAATTAGCCATTTAAGCCCTGTTAGAGAACATCAATGAGAGTAAATCCTACATAACATTAAAAACTGCTTAATTGTACGCTGATGTAATGAATTTAATCAAAATCGGTTTTAAAAAAATAGTAAAAATGTGTTACATCGATCATATAAAGTACCGATTTCGATTAGCCGATTTTGACGAAAAAGTTGTTGAAACATCTCAGGTATATACAAACCTTAAATGTGCAATTTCACTTTCATACGACTTTTCGTTTTTGAACTAGATCTGTCACATACATACAGACACACGCACACACAGACCTTTTTGCGGGACTTGATTGTTGGGACTCAGGGGACCTCAAGACATGTATTTCCGTTGAAAACTCAAATTCGAAATTTTTCACGATCGCAATATTTCATATTTAGGTAAATGAAAGTAAAAATTATATAAAACTAATATCCTGACGAAATAGCCACGTGGTCACTTAAAATGTTATATTCCCGTTCTCCTGCCGTTCCTTAGCTTGTCCTGCAATCTTTTCAAAAATCGGGACTGTTTCATCAAAAGCGTCTGGTTACCGTTTATTTTATAGACCATTTCAAATTTCTTCACTAAAATAACTTAAAAAAATATATAAATATATTTTTTATTTAATTTTATTCGTCCCCAAATATTTCTAATTAAAATCCTACCGCATCAAGTTTTCGGACAAAATGACTTTTCCACCAAAAGTTTTCTTTTTCTTCTAAATTCATTAACTTGAAAATTAAATAAATAAATAAAATTTTAAAAAATGCTCCTCCGACAGGTTCCAATATGCTATACAGAATTCGTTATACCCTAAGGATTTTGTATAGCATATCCGAACCTGTTGAAGAAGCCTGCTAACACCGAAGATATAAATTTAGATAGAAACCGAAGATACGATTAATTTAGACAACTGATCAACAATGCGAACTTGCTAGGCAGTTCTCGATAATCAGTTTCTTAAAAAACATTCATTATTATTAAACGTTAGCGTTATAAAATCAACAAAAGCAATATAAAACTCAAATCCTAGCGAAATAACTACGTGGCGGTCTAAAATCTTATATTCTATTTCTGTTTTCCTGCCGTTCCCTAGATTGTAGTGCATTCTTTACGAAAATCGGGACTTTTTGAAAACGGGACAAATTGTCAGAAAGCGTGATGTCTGGTTACCTGTTAAGGTTTCAAAAGTTATTTGAACCACTTATTTTATTTATTTATTCCAAAAAGAACAAGGAGCTTCCTCGAGGAACTAGGAGTGGACATACCTTAACTTTGAACCACTTATTTTATAGATCATTTCGTCAATAACTTAAAAAATATAGAAATATATTTCTTATTTAATTTTATTCGTTCCCAAATATTTCTTATTAAAATCCGCTTGCATGATGCTTGCGGAAAAACTTTTCCACTCGAAGTTTTTTTTTTCTTCTAAAATTATTAACTTGAAAAGTAAATAAATAAAATTTTAAAAAATGCTGCTTCGACAGGTTCCAATATCCTATAAAGAATTCGTTATGCCCTAAGGATTTTGTATAGCATATCCGAAAATGTTGAAGAAGCATTCCGACCGCCATGAGAAACCTGCTAACACCGAAGATATAAAACCACCAGGATACGATTAATTTAGATTACTGATCAACAACGCAAACTTGCTAGGCAGTTTACGATAATCAGTTTCTTAAAAATTTGCATTATTATTAAACGTTAGCGTTATAAAATCAACAAAAGCAATATAAAACTCATATCCTAGCGATATACCTACATGGCCGTCTAAAATCTTATATTTTATTCCTGTTCTTCTGTTTCATAGCTTGTGCTTTCTCTCAGAAAATCGGGACTTTTTGAAAAGACCGCGGGACGCGGGACAAATTGTTATAAAGCGTGATGTCTGATTACCTTAACTTTGTGCTACTTATATTATAGATCGTTTCAAATTTCTTTATTACAATACCTTAAAAAAATGTATAAATGTATTTCTTATTAAATTTTATTCTTCCCCAAATATTTCTTATTAAAATCCGCTTGCATGATGCTTGCGGAAAAACTTTTCCACTCGAAGTTTTTCTTTTTCTTCTAAAATTATTAACTTGAAAATTAAATAAATAAAATTTTAAAAAATGCTGCTTCGACAGGTTCCAATATCCTATAAAGAATTCGTTATGCCCTAAGGATTTTGTATAGCATATCCGAAAATGTTGAAGAAGCATTCCGACCGCCATGAGAAACCTGCTAACACCGAAGATATAAAATCACCAGGATACGATTAATTTAGATTACTGATCAAAAACGCGAACTTGCTAGGCAGTTCACGATAATCAGTTTCTTAAAAATTTGCATTATTATTAAACGTTAGCGTTATAAAATCAACAAAAGCAATATAAAACTCATATCCTAGCGAAATACCAACATGGCCGTCTAAAATCTTATATTTTATTCCTGTTCTTCTGTTTCATAACTTGTGCTTTCTCTCAGAAAATCGGGACTTTTTGAAAAGACCGCGGGACGCGGGACAAATTGTTATAAAGCGTGATGTCTGATTACCTTAACTTTGTGCTACTTATATTATAGATCGTTCCAAATTTCTTTATTACAATACCTTAAAAAATGTATAAATGTATTTCTTATTTAATTTTATTCTTCCCCAAATATTTCTTATTAAAATTCTGCTGCATCATGCTTGTGGAAAAAACAACTTTTCCAGCCAAAGTTTTTCTTTTTCTACTAAATTCATTAACTTGAAAATTAAATAAATAAAATTTTAAAAAAATGCCTCTCCGACAGGTTCCAATATGCTATACAGAATTCGTTATACCCTAAGGATTTTGTATAGCATATCCGAACCTGTTGAAGAAGCATTCCGACCGCCATGAGAAACCTGCTAACACCGAAGATATAAAACCACCAGGATACGATTAATGTAGCAGAAAAAGTGAAACAGAAATGAGAAAGGACTTGTCTATTTGTGATCCGATTATAAGCGACCCCTGGGCAGGTAGAGGAGCTCTTTGTGGGGACGCAGCAGGGAACCGCCGCAGCCGCAAACACTATCCGGGAGGGTGGTGCCCTGCAGTCTGGAGAGTCGACTTTGTCGCCGTAGTACTACGGCGAGGCATTCTTATGAATGGAGGCCGGGGCTTATGAATGGAAAGAAGACTTATGAATGAAGCTCCCTGCGGTGCCTCCTCAATGAACAACTTCCGGCCCTTTACCTGCCCTTAACTGGCCGTGAAATAGCCGCAGGTACCTGCCCAGGTCCTCAGGTCGGAAGTGCCTTGTGAGGAACTGGGCCGGAGGTGATGGAACATCGGATCTGAGGTGCCGCAGGATACAGGATACAGGATGGGTTATCGAGGAGGCGTTGAACGCTCTGTCACAATAGTCTTGGACAATGCTACTCATGTTTGGCTACCAAATAGCGGTCTCCAACCTGCAAGGTTTTCATTGGCGCACCGCTGTGACACTTGAACGCACTCCGTTTTAGTTCGTGGTACAGATCCCTTTTTTTCAAATTATTAACATTATTTCTTCTGTTCATTTTTCCTAAAATTGGTGTTTTGAGGTTTTATTTTTTACACATTGATATGCTATTAATTACGACGTTTCGACCATACTAAGGGCCATTTTCAAGTCTTGATGAGTCCTCCGTTATATATTCATCATTAATGTCGCAATAATTTGTTCAGTGAACATTAAATTGTCCTGCTCTATAGGGATTTCGCCTACGTCATTTCTAGAGGGGCTGAACATTATTATTATTATTACGTTATATTATATTATCATTATTAGCTTCATTAGCTAAATAGCTTCATGTCATCGTAACCTACAAATATTGTATTTACGAAAATACTCAGCATTTGGGGAGTTTTGAATATGGAGATCGCCAATTTTTTTCTATTTAATCACTTACTAAAAAATCTTAAATACTCATTTGCTTTTCACTTCAATCTTAAGATAATATGACAAGAAAAAATAAATCGCCTACAAAAATATTGGGACGTTTGGCCTATGTAACCTCGTTATTTTAATGGGCGATAAATATTCAGGAAGCGGTCTTTGTTTAACAAAAAATCTTTAATTTTTTATTTATGTTAACGTTTCAACGCAAACATGTGGGTCATCTTCAGGGCGTGGTTTGAGCACTGAGGGTGTAAAGTACTCTACAACCTTGTACTTAAACAGTGCTCATATCACGCCCTGAAGATGACCCACATGTTGGTTGAAACGTTGGCAAAAACAAAAAATGAAAAATTTTTATAATAAAAAAAAAGGACTGCGTCCTGAATTTTATCACCCATGATATGTAGAACAGTCGACTAACTTACTTCAATAACTCGTTATTTTAACTTTTTCGGAGTGAAGATGACGCCAAACAGCATCAATGTTTTTGTAGGCCACATTTTTTTTCGTCTTTGTGTTCATATTATGTTACGATTGAAGTGGAAAGAAAATATTCATGAGTTTTTAGTACCTAATTAAGTAGACAATGTTTGCCGATCTCCAGATTGAAAACACTCCAATTACGAGAAATAAATAAAATATTTGTAGGTTATGATGAAATGAAGCTATTTACGAAGTTTCCGGTGGATGTGAATAATTTGATAAAAAGAATCCTATAATACGTTTTATTTTATTGCATTTTCAAAACACAAGAGATATTATGAATGAATTAAATATTATGAAATTATTACATGAATATGCCCTCTACCCTTAAAAAGGTGCTATATAGTCGGAGTGTTCATTCAGAAAAAATCACGTTTTTAATGGAAAACGTTTTTATGAATGAATTTTTTTTTTACACAAAGTTTCAAACAATTATTTTCTTAAATATTAACAAAAAACTGGCTGTTAGAATGATTCCGTTATAATACATAAAGGAGACCAAGCTAACAGTGAAATTTTTGTAATTTCATCAGTTATGGATTTATAGCTTGAGAAAATTGCTTCATAGCAAAAAAAAAAGTTCTCTTTTATGAATTAAAAAAACATTAAATTCTTCATACCTTTAAGTAAATTTCATTGGGTGTACGTGTAAAAAGTAAAAATGGATATATAGTTATATATTTACAGCTATACACTGTAATTTTTACTATCAAATAGAAGAAAAGTGAGAAAACAATTTTAAAATTAAACACGTGATAAGTATCCCATGTGATAGGGGATTGTTGAAGCATTAATCGCCCCTCCTCTTTCGACCCAAGGTATTTTATTGCTATTATCTTCTTAAAAACAGTGCAAGCGAAAGTAGAATTTAAGAAACCGTAGATCTTATAGAATTACACTTGATGTGGTCCGTCTTTGCCCTCGTCTTGTTGTTAGGAACTTTTTATTCCGAAATTCATAACACAGTCGAAATGTGCATTCCTCAAAAATTAAAAAACCTGTCGAAATGCCCCCTCAAATATTTGAGCTATGAAACACCCTTGTGGGCACTCCTGCATTATAGCCATAGAACCTAAGAAGAAATCGGGATGAATTAGAAATATAAATATAAAATAAACTTCATTGTAGGACAATTATGAACAAAAAACAAAAACCATATTTGGACAAGAACATATTAATCGCAATTAAAGAATATATACAATATCTTCAGTGAAATATTTAAAACAAAGAGTAAAACCATTTTGAAAAAACAAAAAATTACGATTTATAACGAAAACGAGACATTTTTGGTTCCGCTCGATAGTTCTTTTGGATGATAACCGAGTCTTTTATGAACTTGTTAAATTTTTTAAAACAATTTATCCCGTTTCTATTCGTCGACTTTTGGAACCAACTGTATTTTGATACTTTTCAATTTTTTTTAATAACTTCTTTCGTTAGTTATTAATTCATTCACCAAAATTGACTTCTAAGAACCGAAAAAGGGACCTATACTACCGTTTTGATAAGTGTAGATAAAGAAAATAGAACAAAATATAATATTTGGCGATATACTATTTTACAAAAAAATATGGATTGTTATGTGGAGATTTATATGGATATCATGAAAAGTGGTTGATGACGGAGAGAACACAAGCGATGAAATAGGAAGTCCTGTGGGATCGATGAGACTGGAAGGGAAGGGGGGGAGGGATAGCTGGAAGGAAATGGGAACCGGAACCTGGCCATGAGATCTCCATTAGGGTGAGCCACTTTTTCATAATTGATTTATTCCTCTTTGTCATATTTCCTACCTTCCTCTCTCTATCTCTCTCTTCTAGCTGAGGATTTACGATTATTCATGGAAAATTCTGGACAAGGCTAAGGAGTAATATCGATTTTTTATACAATTTTCGAGGATAATGTAAATATGTGTAAAATTTATAACTGAAAGTGGTTCTTCCGGTCTATTTCCCCCTCTCCTCCCCGGCTATAAGGACTTATTCCCGGACCACGGTAGATGGCATGGGATCAAAGCCAGAACTAAAAGCTCTCCTACTTCTACAACGCTTCATGTGAATCTTCTATTGTTTGAAACAGTACTACTGAAACTCAAACTTCAGTTCTAAGTGAAACTCCTAGCTAAACACACCTCCTTGAAGAAGACCTGCAAAGTCCGGTCGAAACGTCGGCTTTCAATAAAATTGTTTTGCCACTATTTAGTCTATTTATGACCGCCACCCCGGACCATCTCCTTCCTTTATATTGCAACGGTCAACTATTAAATATTCAATGTTTAAACAAATAAGATTTTCGAAACACTTGGCTGTATTAATTCTTTACGAGAATTATTATTAAGATAGATCTTAATAATTTATATTTTTGACAACCGTCAGATGCAACAGGTTACACTGGAACGTGGCCTGACAAAATATTTCCTAGAAAGGTGACAAGACCAAATGCGGTTGATGGACTGGCTGGAGATATGTGACACAGAGCGGGCTGAGCCAGATGTGAGCAGGTCGCCGATAAAGTGTCGACACCCTGAGGACTAGTTTTTTTCCATTCGGTGACCCTACTTCAGGACCCGGAGGACTCCTGAAGAGGAACATGCTGGTCCAATTTAGCAGGTGAATTACGTGGGAACTCGAGGTCTGCACTGGCCACATGTGGCAAAGATCTGTCGTAGTAGTCTAAGGCAGCAAATAGACTGTCCCTTAGTGATAGCCACAGGCGAAACATATAGTCCGCAGTATAGACCCCTCTTCAGGTGTGTCCAGAAGGGTGTTTGATTACAAAAGTTTTGAGGGGGGGATATTTTTTTTAAATGAAATGAAAAAATAATTTTATTCTGGGACTACTGTCCCCTAAGAGTAATAACAGAGTTACAAATTTATGTATCTTAGTTTGACATAATAAAAATACCAACTAATTTATTGTTAATTGTTATTTCAATTGTGCAATGGATTGAAATTAAACATTGTATAGATGCAAGTAATTTTACATGTTAGGGGAAGTTTGAATGTGGAATAGGTGTTGGAACAGGAGTTGTTTGAAAGAATGTATGTATGAGGATGGGGGTAGGGATAGTATTTAGGCGGGGTTATGAATTTTCTGAATGAAAAGTTTCATACTAAGAAACAAGGAGAAACTATGGAAGACCGCAACAAGTGTAATTGTAATTGAGGGGGCGGGGTGGCCGAATGGGCTAAAGCGTGTGCACAGCACCGCGAGTTGCCCGGCAACCAGATATATGAAGATTCGAGAGACAAGAAAAGTACGAGTCCGCGTCCCGGTACCAGAGGGGATTTTAAACTCCCCGCCTTCACCCTCTGGCACGGGAAAATCCCGTATAGCCTAAACGGCGAGGTAGGGAAGAACAAAAAAAAAATAATAAAAAATCTTAGGAGGAGGAATGGGATAGGACAGATTCTTGCACCAGCGATCTTGGGGAAGATGTGCATCACCTTTTTATGAAATTACTAAAATCAGTCTAAAATTTCGTGAATCTAATCTTATTTTATACTACAATTTTGTTATCTACAAAAATTCTTATAAATGGGATGTTTTCTCATAAAATTAATCAATTTAATAAGCTACAAAAAACTCATGAATAATCATTTACCTTCCTCTTGAATTGTGAGATAATTTGGTCTCTCCGCTGATAAATACGAAAAAAATACATTTAGGAAATATGCTTAATTAAGGTAAGCTTATTAAAATTAAATTGAAATTTCACCTCCTCAATGATAGATAGAAATGTGAAAAGGAGAAAATACAATTTTTTTTTTTTTTTTAACGCCTCTTGACTTATTTGACTTCCGCCGTTAGTCTTCTATCAGTATTGGGATTGTTCTAAGCGATAGCTGTGATCATTTGTCTCTTATATAGATATCCGGGGAGCACGTGGTTTATAATAACCGGACGCGATCACAAATCACTCCCTCTTCATCAGGAAAGCAGCCTTTCGCAGACATCTCTATCCTGTTTTTTTTTTTAGGGGATAGGATTATTAGCTCTGTGCCCAACCCCCAACCTGGAGGACCAAGGAGCGAGCTATCTTGATGAATACAGAGGTCGCTAACTTAGCCGTAGTGGTCAAAACAGTCGATTAGGTACTGCACTTATTTATTTTAATTTATTATTAATTACTTATATTTTATATCTTTTTTTTGTTATTAAATCCAGCGAACAGGATTTAAACTCCAACCATAGACTGTTTGCAGGCGTCTTAACTCGCTCGACCACAGCGGTCACTTTCAGTTTTCTATTTCTTACGTTAAGTAAGAAAATACGTACAAGAAATATATGTACAATAAAATAATATGACACTATGAAAATTTCGGTCGCTTCGAAAATTCATATCGTCGTAAATAATGTTATTTGTAGTTCCTTCTAATAACCCGCACTCATTACATTAATTAATTTAGTAAGAAAAAGCCCCACTTCTGAGAATTTTCATAGCAAAAAGATTTATTTAGGTTATGATGAGCTGAAGCCATCTACAAAATTTTAGAAGAGGGTCTATTCTGCAGACTATTTAAATGGCGGCTAATTTACAATCAGGAGTTGGTTACTGATCGGCTTTCCTTCGGATAAATTCGAGTATTTGGGGAATCTAAGAGTAGCCAGCTGATTAATGATTAGCTTGATCTTGAAACCGAACGCCATCTTGTAGTAGTGAAAAGGAACTAGTACTTTAATTAATTTTATAAACATGTTAAAATTAAAAAAAAAGAAAAGACTAATTTACTAATTATTTGCAAAACCGTTGTTTTAACAAGACCATTGATAGAGTTCTCTCGGACCTTATTAGCTTAACATCATTAGCACAGCTAGCAGAAGAAGACATTAACATATGATAACACCTGCCCGATTAACCAACGAGGTATTAGATCCGGATGAATTCATTCCTACCTGTTATCGATCATACTGGAACGAGAAACAACATATGGTGAGCTTTGAATGGTAAATGCTCATATCCTATCGTAGCGCTACCTGTAATCTCTAAGTTGGACATATTTAAAAAAAATGAAAAATATTAGAAATCCTATCTGTAGCACTTACTTGTAATAAAATTAAAAAAAAAAAAAATGTGGTGCGCTCATCACAGAACTTTCACTTACCGCTCTTCACTGAATAGAAATTACTTTAGGGTAAAATTGTACTATTATAAAAAGTTGTTAAGAGAAACAGAAACACTTTATTTTCATAAAATATAAAATATAAAGGATTGCTGCCCAATTATATTGGGTTGCTATATACACAGCATACTCTTCTATCCTTAGGACAATATATGAATTTATATATAAATATACAGAAGTATTAGTTAATATTAGTAATATATTATATATATATATATATATATATATATATATATATATATATATATAAACATTTTTATTATTTTATTTTTTTCCTTTTTCCTTCCTTTCATTGTTTATGCTTTTTTTTTTTTTTTTAACATTTATTTTCCCTTTCTCTCTCTTTCTCTCTATTGTTTTCAATTATTCATTAAATAAATACATAAATTAAAACTCTTTAAAAAGTTTATATTCTGACTCTTATTTTCGGAAATTGATTTTCACCCTCAAAAACATTTTTCATTTTTTCTCCTTTAGACAATTATGAAATCCTGTCATAGTTTCAATTGGGACTTTTTTTATTACAATTAACAACCATAGAGAGTTAATTATTTAAAATTATTCAAATTGAAAGCATACATTTTGATACAAAATACAAAGCATACATTATTCACATCCACATAAAAGCAATACCGTACAGTAAAATTCTTACATGTGTTTCCTTAGAAAAACAATGTATTTTCTTGAAGATTATTAATCAGGAAAATAACAAATGAAAAATAATGGATTATGCCTGAATGGGCAAAATACTAAATTTGAGGATTCTGTCCTAAATAAACTAGTAGGGGCTAAAGAATTAGGAGGTGGGGAAAGCCTATATGGGCAATAGTTTTATTTTTATTTTTAGTCATAAGCTAGGTGATTATCTATTTTTTATTTAAGAATGTATTAAATTGGGCATTTAATTGTTAAATTTTTGTATTAATTTTTATTATTATAGATTGTTTTGTCCATTTTAGGTTTTTATTGTTGTTAATTTTATTATTTTACGTTAATTGTCTAGCCTTATGAAGGTCTGATTAAAGACCGAAACCGGTAAAACAAATAAAAAATTATAAAGAAGGGCGTCTCTTTTTATTGAATTTAGATTTCACTCCTGTGACATCAAGCCTCAATTCAAGAATTAAAGTACTTTTGTATAAGACATCTTTGAAAATTCGACATTTAAGTCCTGTTAGGCGATATAAATGAGAATAAGAACAAGCTGATATTAAAGACTATTTAATTGTACATCGATGTGCCGAGTTTAATCAAAATCGGTTCGAAAAAATCGCAAAAATGTTTAAAATCGATGATATAAAATGGCATTTCTGCTTAGTCGAAGAAAAACTTTTAAGGACAAAGTTTCTGTAATATCCAGGCGTTAAATTCCGAGTCACAGACACTTTTTATCAAATTATTAACATCCGACTAAAGCTTCGTGAATTGGTTCATTTTATCGTAACAAATTTTTTATCTACAAAAATTCTCATAAATTGGGGATTTTCTCATTAAATTAATTAGGTGTTAAATATCTATTTGCATTCCACTTAAATCGTAGTATAATTTGATCACAAAAAAATCGAATAAAATGGTGGCCTCCAAAAATATTGGACCGTTTGGCCTATATGCCCTCGTTATTTTGATATGTTCGGGGATGGATGTCACGCCAAACGGACCAATATTTTTGTAGTCCACCTTTATTATCAATTTTGTCATCAAATATTCTTACAATTTAAGCGAAACGTAAAATAATGTTCATGAGTTTTTACTAGCTAATTTAAAATACAAAGTTTGCCGATATGCAGAATATTGGCAGAAACGTTCCAAGTCCGAGAATATGGTGGATGTTAATAATTTGGGGTTTGTACCAAGGACTACTACGTTTGTGAGGTAGACTTTTAGCTTAATACATATGTATATATGGGCAAATTATTTATATATATATGGACAAATGAAAGTAATAAATTTAAGCAATAAGTAATTAAAAATGCTAATTTAAGCATTAAGTGATCACACTTGCTTACAGAACACTACGCTCTGATATTAGCATTAATATCAGTATTTTCATGTCGTGGTCATTAATGTATCACACCGCTTATTTAAATAATAAATTAGTAATATTTTAAACAGTAAGAGCAGCTAATCTCTCTTTATTACTGCACCTTACCTACTGGATTAATTAATTATACTGTTCTTTATCAGTGGCACAATTATGTCTTTACAGTCCTTGAGTTAATATTCACAGTAGGCACGATATATTTGAAGAGGTGATATCTTAATGGTTGCAGTTCACGAACATGAAGAAATTATAATTTTTGGATGGTTTTGCTCCGTAAAAATTAGATATGGCTAACATGAAATGAAACAAACGCATGGGATAGAATATATTGAAGATAGAATATACGTGAATTTTCATCACCACTCACTAAGCATTGTGAGTAGATAAAATTTGTTTTCCTTAAGTTCTAATTTGTTATTCATGGGATGTATTTCAGTGAAATGTATTTTATTTCTAATTATCTTCAACATACTTCTCGCTATGTGTATATATATACTTTATTTTATTTTCTCTTCTCCTAATCTTTACGCATAATCACTTAAATATCTTAGGGAACATATGTATATCATTATTTGTTTTTTTACATATTTTTTT